TACAGTGGGGAAGGAAACTGCTAAAATCTCAAATTTAATCTATTCTTTGTCCAACTAAAAAGTCTATAACAAGTGATAGAAATCTGTTGGCTGTTACATTAACAATTAATAGGATTAACCTGTTCAAGTCCAGGCTAATTTTATGTGCTGCAACGAAGAGCTTGCCTACCAAATGCTATGTTTGCTATGGCTAAGATTGAGTTTGCCTATTGTATTAACAGCCCACGTTAAATAATCTGAAGCTAGTTATTCAAGAAGACTTTTGTCAATTTCTGAATCAATCTATTTAAGATGCAATTCATTTCTCTTCTAAATACCAGTATTCTACTATCCCAGTGGATCTTTTTTAAAATATATTTTTGTCCTGACAGTTATTCCAGACAGTTATTTAGAAAAATAATAAAACAGGACAAAAAAGGCAGTGTACCAGAGGTGGTATTTTGCCAGTTCGCATCGGTTTGAGCCAATCAGTAGTGGCGGCGGTGGGTGGCTCCGCCCACCCACCCAGACATCATCATAGACCTTCTGTGCATGCCCAAACGTGCCCTCCCGTTACTGAACCAGTAATGAAGATAATAGGGTACCATTACTGCAGTGAACATATCTAACATATCATAATCTCCCTTCTCCTATTTTTCCTAGGAAAACAACCCTATGAATTAGTTGGGCTAAGAGAGAGAGATTGGTCCAAAGTTACCTAGCTGGCTTTCATGTCTAAGGTGGGACTAGAACTTCAAGTCTCCCAGATTCTATCTTGGTGCCTTAATCACTAAAACAAATTGGCTTTTAACCTTTTTATGTCATGAATTACTTTTAGAGACTGGTGAAATCTACAGTCTACAAATATATTGAAATTCATGGACAGAGACAATAGTAAAAGACAGCTGATTATGCTCAAACATAATTACCAAAATATGAAAAAATAACATGTAATATAATGACATGCTTCTTTATTAATCCATTAACCCAATAATGGGACAATAACTATACCTTTTTTGGGAGGAGGGGTATTATGATATCATTTTTGGAGACTAAAGGCCATAAGTTACTTCATTGCCAACTGCATTATTGAATGAAATGCTAAATTTCAGCTAACTTCCAAGGGATCTGTGATTTGCTGGTCAAGAATCTCTGTATCCCTTCTTTGAAAGTTAAACAACCTTTTGGGATTAGTGACACATTTAGAAGTTTTCTTTAGTCCTTTGAATGATTTTTAACACATCTTGTAATCTTTTTACAACGGGAGGAGGGGAGGTAACATTTCCAAACATTTCCAAATAAAACTCTGGGGTGCAGCCACCCAATAGTTTAATTTTCTAAGTGTGACGCTAATACAAACCTAGAAGCATTATTAGTAATAAAGATGATACTAGCAAATTTGTCATATGCCATCTTCCCATTGATTTTTTTAAATTAAAATGATGTAAGGAAAAGTACAAGAGCAGAGAGTTTCATATATTTGATATGATATATTTGTTATACCCCAGAGTTTTAACAAAATTATTTATCACAAAACCTTTTTCTTAATCTGCATATTAGTCCAAACATCTGCATTTGGTTATTAGTCAATGTGTAAATTGCCTTGTAAAGCTATGAGATATGATTTGATGAAACAAAAAGACTTACTTGGCCCAGGGTTTTAAAAAAAGTCCACAGTACAACTGAATTTGTATAGAGGTGGGAAGCCTTCTGGTACAGCTGAACAACAATTCCCTATTTTGCTGTAAAATATAACTACTCGATGACAAGGGTGATTTAGTAGTCAATTGTTGTATGTAACATGAGCATCTATAAATTATTGTGCCTATTGCTGCATATTTTTGTACTATACCTACTACTACTACTTATAAATAGTTGTAAACAGTAGTCCCCCGCTTACAACTATTTGCTTAGCAACTGTTCAAAGTTACCACAGCACTAAAAAAAGTTACTTAACAATCAGTTTTCACACTTAGCAGCCATTGCAGCATCCAACAATTTGAGAGCTTGTCAACCAACCAGAGGTGGGTTCCTACCAGTTCGCACCTATTCGGTAGAACCAGTTCGTCAAATCTACCGAACTGGTTAGAAGAGGTTCCACCAGTGAACCCGGAAAGCAGGCCACACCTACAGAAGAGTTTCCCAAAATTTTTGAAACCCACCACTGCAAACCAACATGTATTTACAACTGTTGTAGCATTCTAAGTTTGTGTGATTGCCATTTGTGACCTTCTCAGGCAACTTCCAACAAGCAGCAACAATGGGGAAAGCTGAATTCGCTTAACAACCACACAATTCACTTAATGACTTTGGCATAAAAGGTCATAAAATCTGGTACAACTCACTTAACAACTATCTTTCTTAGCAATGGAAATTGTGTCCCAATGTGTTTGTGGGTCAGGGACTACCCGTATATAGCCTAATTTGTTCTAATTAAAATATATGGGGAAAGGTTTTATAGCTAGTTCGCTGCTAGTTCACTAGATTTTTAAGATATGAAAATCTATTAAGTACACAAACACTCTGCTGAATGATCCACTGGTTAGTATTTTATAGAGCTATGATGGTGAACTTACGACACGCGTGCCACAGGTGGCATGTGGAGCCATATTTTCCGGCATGCCAACCCTCAGCTCTAGCTGATTTTCGGCCTTCTGGGGGACTGGAGGAGGTCATCCCCCCCCCCCAGGCTTTAGGAAAGCCTCCGGAGCCTGGGGAGGGCAAAAAACAGGTCTGACGGACCTACTGGGAGTTTGGAAATGATCTGTTTCCATCTTTTGGAGGGCCTCTGGGAGGGTGGGCGAGGTCGTTTTTGCCCTCCCCAGGCTTCAGAAAAGCCTCCGGAGCCTGGAGAGGAGAAAACATCCCCCCACATGGGGTGGGGTGGGCGCATGCACAGGTGGGTGGGGCACATTCCATTGTGGGTCTGGGCACACACACACACAATTATGGTACGCCTTTACAAAAAGTTTAGCCATCACTGTTATAGAGCAAGGCTACAGTGTGCATCTATCACCTGAAACAGAATAAAGTCATTGCAACACAAGTTAATTATTTCATGATGATTCTGAGATACTAGTGTACACAGAGTACTAACTAAAAACTTCTCAGACTGTCAATAATTGTATTCATTTTATGAAGTTGCATTGCTGCATTGCTAATTTTTAAAACTTTTAAAATATCTTTGTTTATTTTTAAAATATGATATGATATATTCAACAGGTACTCTTTATTAATAAAAAAACTGAAACTCAGTAAACCAACCTGTGAAATATTATCTAAGAACAAAGGAAAATTCAGGCTATTGCTATTCAAATTCAGGAGACTCCTCTGTCTCTGTGGAGTTCATCTCCATCTGTAAATTCTGTCTCACAAGTTTTTAAACAACTTTGGAAATCAACTCAGGAATATTACAATATATAACCATTCATGATCAGAGAAACATCCCTTTTAATACAAAACAAAAGAAAGTAAAGTATGACTCCATGATACAACAAACTCCATTGATTTCAAGAATTCTTATGCAAGTATGTGCCAGATTGCCAACAAGGTACACAGTCTAACAAAAAATTATCCTACCTGGAGCACTTTGAAATTCAATGGAAATTGCATAGATATATGAATCTCCCTAGACTGTAGATCTCTGATTGTAAGCTCTGATACCTGATATGAACATTGGGAGATTCTTTTGCACAATCTTAATTATTCATAATTTCTGAAAACGTGCCTCCTAAATATTTAATAGTTTTCATTAATTTTCTTTTCATATAACATTTATTTGGCTATTTCTTTATTTTTATTTTATTTTGTAGACTTCAAATATGGGTTAAAATGGAATTGATTATTGTTAAAATGCAGACTTTCCATGCTTTCTTTTTTAGCATTTAAATAGCTATTTGGTAGTCTATTCTGATCAATTAACTGAACAACAAGAGATGTAAATTTATAGTTGAAGATTATAAAAATTACATTTCATTCTAGACAGTTTTCCGAATCATGAAATGGCATGTTGTTTTCAATTGTTTCAGTACAGTTAGGAGTAGCAGAAAAACGTGCCTTTCTCCATCCAGATACACATCCATCAGTTCAGCAAAAGTTATGGAAATATCTAGACACAACATGAAAACAGCAACCAGAAGACACAAATAGGATTTAAATTGGAATGATGCTTGGTTGTATCCGAGGGAGTTCAAAGTTGAAATAAAATTGATATTTTTATATCATTGATCTAGAAAGATAACACAAGCATATTAACTTTTAAAAAGGAATATTTTAAACTTCTTACAATAAAAGGTGTCAGTTTCCCACACACAAAAATCCACAAAAGAATAAGCCTTTTCTTTCATCCAGACGTGCCAGAGGGAAGTACATTCCTTAACTTGCTGTGAACTAGCATTGATTTCTTCTTCCAATACCCTCCAGTTGTATAGGAACAAATCTGCTATCATCCCCTGGCAGCATTTTGAAGGTTGTGGATAATGGATATCATAGACTAACACAACTTAAGTGAGAACACCAAGTGGAGGGAGACGGAGAAGTGTAATGGAAAAGTGAAGTGAAAGAGAACGTTCCATTACCAAATCACCTATCAAAATCGATCCCTTCTCCTATAAGCTCCTTGACTTTAGCTTTGTGTATACTGGCAACCACACAAATGCTTGGCCTTGGGGTTACAGCCTTCCTTCATTTGTACATGGGTGTCCTGAGCTTTTCTTGTTTCTATGCCATGGGCTTTTTCTTTCTATTTAAAAAGTTACAAGATGAGACATTCTGCTGTCTAGTTCTTCTTCCCCAAACTTTAGAGGACGGACAAGCTTGGCAATCCCTACCAGTTAGTGTCTTAACGTCCAAACCTTAAGGCAGCTTTGGGAAGGAATGAAGCTGGAGGTGTCCCAAGTGAAGTGGGGATGGGGAAAGAGAAAGTAGAGAGATGACTTCAGGTAGAAAGGTGTGAAAGTGCCAGCTCACACCTATTAGATAGACTTTACCAGGGACCCCACTGGTTTCATATGTACACTCACCTGCTCTGGTCCCTGAAAGCAGATCCTGCAGAGAGGCGTTCTCATTCCACTATCCAAACTGCTCCCCAGAGAATACCCATCCTCTGCCTTCCCTTTGCAGAAGTCATCGGAGGAGGCGCTGCTCATCACAGTCGTGGAAAGCTCTCCCTCTCCGCCAGGGCTTTCCCACTCTTCTTCGTGGGGGCTCGTGACGCCCCCTCCTCCTCCTCCATCACCATCACCACCCCCGTCCGTCGGCGCTCTCCGAGGTGCCCATCGCCCTCCATATAGCGTAGTCAGCGTGTTGTTATTAGATGCCTGTACACTCAAGGCTTGATCTGTTCTGCTCATGGGAGGGAGAGACAGCGGCGAGGGCGGAGGAGGGGCCGGGGGTCTCCGCAGAAGGAAGACCTTCAAGTCATTGAACAACATGCGGCAGCGGCACTTGAGGAGACCCTGATGGTGCAACATCTGTCTGGGGATCAACAGTCCAGAGCAACAGTACCAGAAAACGACCACGCGAGTTGGTATTAACATGTGCCTTCTCTTTCAGACAGTCGCGGGCAAGAAAAATGCAGACCGGTAGAGGGCGCACAAAAACAAGAGGGCTGAATTGGTTCACTTCCGCTTCCTTTCCCTTGGCTCCCACCGTACCCTCACCGAGACGGGGTAGCTTGCTAATAAAAGTGGAAAATTGGCAGGAGGATTATTATTTTTTGTATATTTCACAGCATGCGGGCAAAGATAATGACTTTTTTCCTTCCTCCCCCACAACTCTCTCCTTTTTAAAAAGCCAAGTATTAAATGTCAGTCTTCTTTTCACCCAGCTTTTAAAAAAATAAATAAATCCGAGATTTTTTTTGTAACAAAAAGAATAAAATAAAATAGGAACAAGCGTTTTACCCTTTACGTGCTGGGTAAGCTCGTTCAAAGAAATATCGAGAAGGGAACTGATAATTCCAGAAGCAGAAAGTGGATGAGAGAGAGAGAGAGAGAATTCAAGTCACTAGAAAGTGTGGAGAGTAGGGAGAAAACGGTTCGTTCAAAAGTATTTGACATATCAAATAATCTTATTACTAGTTTTTAAACTTAGTAGGAACATTTAAAATGTGCTTTTGATGCAACAACGGTAGAGACGATAATTATTAAAATGCAAAAATAGTTTCTGTTGCTATCGCCATCATTAAGAATAGGAATATCAAAACTTGATTTCATTGACCCAAAGGGGGGGGGGGAGGAAAGCACTTTTTTTTCATGAAGAGTGGGAGAAACACATGCTTAATTTTAATTCTTCATAGGGTTCCGTTTACTACTTTATTAAAATATTCTGAATAGAAATAGAAAAAGTCCTGAAAGGAAGTGAGTATGAGAGGAGGTTAATTTTGACTCCCAAGATTGACTGGATTTTGCTTTACCTCCCGCGTTCGAGGAACTGTCTGGACCACACACAACCACTGGGGGGGGGGGCACAAAAACCAACAAAACAAAACCCGGAGATTGGGGAGGAGACCTAAAAACTGAGTTATTCCAAAATCCGCCTTGGATTTGAAACAAACGCACATCCGTCGAGATCTAAGAGATCCTTTTGCATGAAATTGATTCAGCGAAACGTGGATCTTACATTTTCACGTTTCCTTTCCCCTTTTTCACAAGACAGGAACGTCATCAAACGCAGTGACAGTCCTTACAGACCATTGTGGCTGACGCGGAAGAAAAGGTGCATTCAGCAGATGCAGGGATCTCCTTTTGATAAATAAGGCGCCGCTACAACTCTCTCCCGTTGCATCTGCCTCGTCCTCTCCTATCCTCCTCTTCCTCCTCCTCCTCCTCTTTCTCCTTCTCCTCCTCCTCCTTCTCTGATGCTTGTTTTCGCTCAATGGCATTGACGCTCAACCATTGCAAGTCTTTAAAATAAAAGGAGGAAACACACAAACCAACAGCCGTAGATCGGATCCTCACTTTGCTAGGTAGGATTGCCAAAAAGAAGACGAAGGTTCGCTAGAAAAACGACGCGCCAGACTCAAACCTCCGCGACAAAGAAGCAGGAGGGGGGGGTTGTTTCGCTTGCAGCTTGTCTACCTCCCCTCCCTGTCTCGGCAGTTTGGCTTCTCTTGGTCGGCAGCTTCCCTCAACTCTCCATCCGGCTTTCCGTGATGATGTGGCTGTTGCTACCTCCTTGGGATGCAATGGGAAAGAAGGATAGTTTTGCGGTGCAAATGGGGATGTTGAAGAAAGGCGGGAGTGAGCGAGGCTGGGTGGGACGTGGTTCTTTCTCCGCCTCCGCCTCCTCTTCCTCCTCCACCTCTTGTCCAATCCTTAAATAAATAAAGCTAAGACAGGAAAGGAAAGGAAAGGGGAGGAGGAAAAATTCAAGTTGCAACCCAGGCTTGGTCTCCCGCCCCACGCCATCTCCACGGGCGGCAATCGCTGTCAATAAGCCGTTTGTGGTGTGCACGGGGAAGAAACATCTTCCGATAGAAAATGCGCCTGGGAAATTGGCGGCAGTAGCGGAAGGAATTGGGGTGGGGGGAGAAAAGAAGAAGAGTGGAGAGGGCGCCGCTGATTCGAGCGGCCGCGATTTCAGCACTCAACGCCTCTGGACAGCTCCCCTCGCATCTCAGCACCTCCAACTATGGGGAGCTGACGCAACCAGCCCAGGCGGAGCCAGAAGGAAGGAGTAGGGCCAGACAGGCCAAACCTTCCCGAGTGACCCTCCGCTCGGCGAGTCGCTCGTGTCCAAGCTAAACGTACGTTGTTTACACTTCACATTTCCGCCTGCTTACATAGCGTGACGGAACGGCTCCTTAAAAAAAAAAAAGACAGGGGGGAGCAGTATTTGCTTATATGGCAAATATTTAGGCAAGTGTCTATGGAGATTCTCAGTCATCCCGCTCATGGTTGTTCCAAAGGTCCTTTTTTTTTCCCTTCGAGAGGCAACTGGACTTTCTGGTTTCAAAATGCAACTGGACTTTCTGTTGCCTCTTGAGTCCAGTTGCCTCTTTTTTTGAGGGGGGCGGGAACCTTTGGAATAGGCAAGTATTTGCCTATATGTGGGATGGAGTTTTCTCCGCGGTGGTGCCTAACGGCTCTTTAAATCCGGTTTCTGCCTGTTGCTAACTTACGTGTGGCGGGACTTGCGGTCCTTCCTTCGGCCTCCGCCTTCAGAATGAGGTTTCTCAACGTTTGCTCACCCGTGTATCCGTAAAAGGAGTGCATTTTGTACCTGTGTGTCTTTAGGACGTTACGAGTTCTGCTAACTGCTTGTCCGTGGTTAATTTGAGGAACAGGCGATCGGGCAAAAACTGAACTATTTGAAGGGGAACGCTAACATTCTCCAGCAGTTCTTTGGGATTTGGGATATATAGGAGATCTGTAACATCGCATTTTTTCCATCAAGTTTTTTATTGTATAACAAATAAAAATTACTATTTTTACCAGTGATGTATGCATTTTTGTCCAGTATTTTTTTGCTTTTGGGCATGTCTACCACATATGATAGTATAAGCCAGTTTTTTATGGCATTTCCAACATTTTGCAAACATATCCTTAAACATCTTGGCTAATCTTGACAGTAGAACATGCCATATATAAAGATTTTCTTTATATGCACATAGGTAATACCTCATTTTAACCACTGTCCACCAAGGCTCCTTACCTACTGATATTTGATTTGACAGAAAAACAGAGTTGGAAGGGACTTTGTAGTCATCTAGTCCAGTGGTCCCCAACCTTTTTATTGCCGCGGACCAGTCAGCCTTTGATAATTTTACC